ATGTTAAACTTTATTTAATTACTGGTAAGTCTTTCATGGAGATCCTGAGAATTTGATTGAATGTAATGCCTAAACTATTAAACATTTCGGTATGTACGTGTAGGTAGTACAGTAGTACTTCCTTAGAAAAACATATAGTAGTCGGATTTAGAAATTCGGAAAGAGGGGACGGGGAGTGAAGGAGGGGACGGGGAGTGAATTTTACAGATGGAAAATCCAGACTACTCTAGAAATTATCCACTTTTAATTTATGTTTTGATAAGTGCCTAATAATATGCGCTCTATAAGTCGACAATTATTATTACTATACAATGTGACTAGCCTCAGTCAAACTCAAACAATTAAAAGATATTTTGATTGGAACCTCAAAGACTTACTGTCGCATCACATACTTCTACAATTAATCACTTTTTAAAATATCAATAGTACTTACAGACGTTTCAGGGAAGTATCTCTAAAAGCACCCGCTTCTATGTAAGTTATTTGGTTTTTGTAAAGGTATCTATGAAAATAAAAACCATTACAATCCAATTTTAAAATCAAATTTACTGAAAAAGCAATAGGCCCATGTACATCAGCTGCACTGACATATCCCGAGTGCGTGAGAGAGAGGGAGAGAGCCAGCGTTCGTGTGAGACGCAAAATCATGAAAATTCACTTTCCCAAATGTCAATAGAAGGTTGCGTTTATTATTTCACTTATATATACTTATTTATTTATATATACTTATTTATTTATATATACGTTGATCATCTACGGAAAAAAATGTCATCTCCCTTAGATGAGTATCAGACTTTGTCATACTTTACACTAATATCAATTTTATTAAAAGTTCCTTCATTATTAGTGGACTTTGAATGTTTAATATGATCTATCTGATTATTCGTGCTGCCCAATTTATCTTCTGTTGACTCTTTTATTATATTGTTTATAAAGTGAATATTTAGGGTTATAGATTATTACTGTACTAAATGACACACACACACCCACACACACATATATATAATACATATTCATAATTCATAATTTAATTTTTTTTATATTATATATATATATATATATCTTTTAGCAACTAGACTATTTACTCGCAGGCTTACATGGTTTAAATAATAACAAGCCAGGAAATTTCTACTTTTGAAAATATAACAGTACTGATAATTTCGAACTTACAACGCATTTAATTTGTACAATTTAGCAAACGCATTCTTCGGGATCCTCTGTAGCAAGTTTCCATTTAGAAAAATTCCTTGAAGAAATTTGGAGCCGTTGAAAGCAAGGTCTGGTAGATGTCTTATCTTATTGTTGGAAAGCACACTGTAAGATAGTATATTACAAATAGTATAGACAAATATATATAGACAAGTAATACCAAATATAGCCCTTCAATGATAAGTTTCCTTTTTAGTTGTATGACAAAAAGTGTCTTGCGGGATTCAAACATAACCCTTGCTATAAATGCTGTAACTGTGGAATGATGTGAACATGTAGCTAATATAAGCGCCTCTCTTTACGGCGGCTTGATTAGGTAGACACTGACCACGCCCATAAATCAGCACAATGACGCTGCAAATTATGAGTTCTTATTCCCCTATCTTTACCTTTATTAGACGCTCATGTAATAAAAACATTCACAGAAACTAGTCAAGTGCGGTGACTTCTATAATTTTACAGTATATAAACAGACGCAACTTGCAATTACGGCCTCTGTCTATTATGAATATTATGTTCTTACATATAATTGTACACATTAAGGTTTGTTACAGCTTTTGGGATGGATGTCAACCGATTCAAAGACAATTGCCTGAAAAGAGAAAGCATAAGTCATTAATCATCATATATTATTATAGGCCTACATTTAACTATTTTTAAAGAAATATCGACACCAAGACCCACAAAATGGTTAAAGCCCTGTCCAGACTATCAATTCGTTTGACGAAAACATGTAACATGCCTAAAGCCTGGTTCTCACGAGAGCGGTATCCGGATACGCTAACGGTTAGCAAGCGCTATCGGTTAGCAAGTTGAGGGCGTTTCTATCATCAACCAATCACACGTACGCGTTTACAATTTCCAGCTTCTTAATGGCCAGTAATTCGATCATCATATTCTTGGTATCCGGATCGGGATTTTCTCGCATGCACGGCAGCTAACGGTTAGCAGGATCCGGATCCTTCTAACCGTTAGCTCCTGTGTGAGAACAATAGCCTTTAATTATGATGACTTCACACCATGACCATATATAGGCATACATCAGTTTTTTGTCAAAGAAAATTTGTTAATCTGGACAAGGCTTTACTCGAATTAAAACTGCTCCTTACTGATTAATTGTAAATATAAGTATGAGAATAATGACAACTGTGATATCATAATAGGATTCTACGTTTCGTTCTTTATTAGAACATTGTCAATATAAGTAATAATTGACAGTATACTAATAAAGAACTAAACGTAAAATCAATTGTTACTGTTGTCATATTTTATTTGCGATTATTCAGTCGATCTTTTGATTATTCCTTCTTACTTAGTGTATTTTTTGCTTGTACTTTGGTTCGTAGCCAGCATTTACCAAAGAGTGTTCTAAGCATAGAGTTCAGGGGCACAGGGCATAAGTTTTTATATATAACGTAAATATAATTACGATACACATAGCTAGTATGTTAAGGACATTATTATAATTAGTATAGAGATGCAAAGTTTACTGTAAAAGAGCTCTTAGGGACTCTATATTTTTTTATGTGACTGCCATTTGTTTAAAATGGTAGAAGGTTTTACTAAAGGGTGATTTGCAAAAACCACTGGATACAGGCCTGTACTTACACTATGTCACAGCTTCGAACTCCAAAAAATGCATTGTCACCAATATCTTCTAGCGTCATATTATAAAAGTGACTGTTAAAGTGTAAAGAATCAGAATCAGAATCTAATCGAAATTGTTTCTATTATCTCCAAAAGAAGAACTGCACCTTTCCGGAATGTCAATCAAGCTTAACAACTGACCAATCATAACAAGGCCAGGAATGTTGTCCCACAAACGCACGTGTTTGTGTCAGTGGTTTGTGTATGATCAAAGATAATAAATAGCAGAAGATAGAGCAGCTTCCCAATATAGTGGAACTTCCGTTCAAAAGGCATTGTGGGTACACGGAGAGCAATTTTACTGCAACCGCGCGGCGGCGCTATATAAAAATAATAAAGGCGCTGCTCTTGTTCGCTTGTTTCATTTATTTTCTCCACTTAGTAAAATGTTCAAATTTTACTGCACCCACAGGAGGGCGAATGTTTCATCGATTTTAATGCAAATACGCGGAGCAGCTCATTCTTCTGATATTCGATATCCAAGGGGCGGGGCTTAGCGGAAAGGTCCATTACAAATGCTCGGTAACGATTTAAAAAAATATTATAAAACAACATAGAAAACACATTTTAACCAAGAAGTAACTGTTAATATAAAATACAGTTCATTATATTGGATTACAATTATATGCTACTATAGTAGGCCTAATAATAAAGATATTGAGGATTCATACAGTTTTCTTTTAGCTAATAGACTTACACTGCTCCAAGTGTGATTCCGTCATCATTAGAAGTGGATTTTCGAAAAGCGTAGTCTGGAAAGTATGAAATAAAATTACCTCTCAAATATCTGAAATATAGAAAAAAAAACATTTTTACACAAAGCAATTCAGTTTCCAAGAATGTGAACTGAAAATTAAGTATTCTAGCAGTAGGCCTAGTAACAGTAGTAGTAGTAGTAGTAGTAGTAGTAGTAGTAGTAGTAGTAGTAGTAGTAGTAGTAGTAGTAGTAGTAGTAGTAGTAGTAGCAGTAGTAGCATCAGTGGTATTAGTAATAGCAGTATCATCACTATCACTACTACTACCACCACTATCAACACTACCACCAATACCACCATTACCATCACTACCACGTGACTACCACCCCTAACACCACTACCTCTACTACCACTACTAACTACTTCTACTACTACTAATGCTACTGCTACTAGTGCTGCTGCTACTACTACTAATGCTACTGCTACTAGTGCTGCTGCTACTACTACTAATGCTACTGCTACTACTGCTGCTGCCGATACTACTGTTACTACTACTACTGCTACTACTGCTCTATTACTAGTACTCCATTAGGTCCTATTAATAAATATGATGATGATCATCAGGAAAAAGATTACTTTGAATAATATTACTTACACCTCGCCAAGCATTGAACATCCACTAAAATAATCAGCCGTTACAGAAGTTAACAAGTTATATCCAAAATTCCTTTAAAAACATAAACTGAAATGTTAATCAGAAGCAATTTGATCGTTTCATTATTGATGGCATCACCGTAATCATAGCTTTAAACAGTGGCGGATTCAAGAATACGAAATAAATGTGGCATTTTACAGATGGAGGATCAAAACAACCTCAGCACAAACCACTGAAAAGACGGCCGGAACCTAAACACAAACTTAAATTTGAATTTAATTTTCTTCTTCTTGCATTTAAAATTTTTTTTCTTCTGAAAATCTAAAATGAAGGTGAGGCGGCTGGGCCCCCATGAATCCAGTGGTGGCTCCAGAAATTTTCGGACATGGGGTCCGACACGAGGTCCAAATCAAAGGGCCGACCAAGAGCTTCGGTCAGGGTCCCGGAACAAAAATTCCTGGTAGGGTTCTTGAGAAGAGTTTCAATGGCTTAGTATGGCCGAAATTGGTTTCTTCTTTTTATTATTTTATCACATCATCGTGATCATTATCATGACATTATTCAGGATCTATTATAAAAATCTTGCTTGCTCCTTTTAAATAAGAAATTCAATGTTTTGATATAGGGCTGCCTATTTTTTATATAGTATTTTCTTCAGATTTTACCACAGGCCACATATCTTTCTGTGTGCCAATTTAACTCACAAGATATAACCTTGTTTGCATAATATCTCCATGGCAGCAGCAGTCACGTTGGTAATCAAATTCCTTTGACAAAACCTAAATTTAAAAAATAACAAAAAAACTGTTACAAAGTGTTTATTTTGCCGGATCTAACTCAAATTTTTTAAGTTAGAGTCCATGTACTCCTTCGGTACTAATCATCACATGATTCCTAAATAGTCAACGGAGTTCCGTTTTAAAAATAAAAACATGGGAAGGGCAGTATGAAGAAAGGCTAGATTTGCTTTAAATGACCTAATGTATGGTAAACATTAATAAACTGAGATCAATCATTGTGAAGTTTACTTCGTATAAACATCGCCAACGAGTTATTTTTGCCAGAAGAAATTAAAAGGTCCGTAATTTCAATTCAAGAGTTCCTAACGTTGAAAGAAAAGACCTTTTAAGGAAAACTAAGTCACATGCCAAAGTAAAATCAGCCTGGATTATTAATGGTAGAATTATAATATCTACAGGCAATGACAATAAGGATAAAGCCATCAAATTATCTATCAATTCTGAAATGGACTTAAATGACCTTTAATAATCAATGTTTTACTCTAACACCATACATTATCATTATATTCCTAAAATATTTTAACATTTTGAGTTTTATGGATTAAATTATCTGATAATGCTTTTGTATCATATACCGGTATATATATATATATATATATATATATATATATATATATATACTTATATATATACACACATACATATGATGCATCGAAGTGATGGATGCACGTATATCCTGATGAACATATAGTAGAATGATGACAAAAAATAATAACATAGACGGTTTTTCCATATATACATATATATATTTATATATATATATATTTATATATACATATATATATATTTATATATATACATATATATATTTATATAT